TCGTGGGGCGAACGTTGGATACAGGCGGCTAATGGATACAGGAGGCCAATACAAAGTCCCCTTGCCCCACCGAATCTGCTTGGAGATTAGATCCGCTCCGCATTTGAGGTGCTGCGCGCGGTGATCCAAGGAAGACTTGATCCCCAGCCACTGTGGGTCATGTGCGTCGTGTTGTTTTTTTCATGGCAATATCTTATGCATTCTCAAACTCTGTGCTTGTGTCTGTGCTCGTTTCTGTGGTTTCTGAGACAGAATTTGGACGCCAACATTTACTCTAAGAAGAAAGTAAGTCTTCTAACAAGAATTCGAAGACCGCATACCTACATGAAAATATTAAGAGCCTTTGTAATTTTTTTTCTATTTTGCTCATTGATCATAGAAATGTGATGATTACATTTATTATAATGTATTCTATATATGGTTTACTAAAATCAAACTTGCACCACTAAACCCTTACGTCAACAAATATATGATACCCAAACATCACATCCACAGACCATCCAGCGTCAACGATATTTCAAAAAAATTCTTACTGCAGTACCAAGGCCCAAAGTCAACCAACATAATTCTCTATACCCAACCTACCCACCTGCTAAATATCATCGTATTCCGTGTACCAGATCTTGAGATATACACAAATACATCATTCAGACTGAAAACAACACACCATTTTCAATGGAGTGTAAAAATCCCTATGAACTACATACGGACTCACACCACAGCCAAACAGAATACATACTCTTCTGACGAAGGCAAAAACATATAAGACATTAACGATTGAAGGCAGATAACAAAAATTGTTTTGAATTCGCAGCGCGGATCCGAGTTACAAAGGCCTACAGAAGGATGTGCCGGTAGAAGTGAGCAGCGATGGTACGGTGCACTGGATTGTAGAAACCCTGACTACCACCGTGTGTGAGGCAGATCCCTTCCTATTTCCTTCAGACACCTTGGAATGTCATGTGTGCTTTTCTGCAGCCACGGCGATCAAGGAAACCATCATCCGTAAGGCTTTTAAGCTTATATATACTGGGCTTTCTGGGAATTCATGGGACTGGAGGGGGCTCAACCCCCCACCCCCTTTATAACTCGTAAACATCGTAGGGTTTGTCCCACCAAGCCCAAAAAAGCCCGGTGTAGATAGGGTTAATTTACATTATCAATATCTGCCTATGTTTCTCTTGTTCTCAATTAAATATATCACAAGCTTAAATAGTCCTATTATGTAATGCAGCTAATTTATTGAATTTCCTCATAAATTATGCAGATTGCATCAAGATTTGCATAACTGTCACATAATTATCTGTCACTTAAGCTACCTGCATATCAAAAATCATGATGATCCATCAACCGGTTCTTGAGTTATCCTCTTTTGAATATTTGAAAAAAAACGCCCCTGCAGTTCCAAACCTATGTCACTTCTTCCCCAGCACAAGAGCTACCTATCATACAAATTTCGTGACCCTAGCACGTCTAGGTCATGAGATATCAAAACCGGAAGTTCGGCTGCAGTACCACAACAAGCCGCCAGGGGGCCCAGAATCTAATTATTTTAAGGTCTCATCAAGACCTACCCACCTACCAAGTGTGAAGACAATCCATTTAAGCCTTCTCGAGTTATCGTGTCCACAGACACACACACACACGCCTCTGAAAACATAACCTTCTTGGCGAAGGTAACTAAAAAATAGATTCATCTCCTAGAGTATAAATATTTGATAGAGAGCCCTTGTGATCGACAAGAAGTGACGTTAGTATTGGCTCCCTAGCAGCTTGTTCTGTAACTACAGTTATACAAAAATGGACAAGAGTGTTTTACTAGTTAAATGCTACAGACTAGTAAGCATATTCAACTCATATAGTACGTATTTTAACCCTCAACAGTACACCTTCCCGGACTGATTAATCTGAACAGTTTTTTGCTAATTTTTAGAAATTATCAACATGCTACCAGCTCAATTGTTTTGCAAACTGATGTGGGAACCTCTGTGTCCACATTACATACAAAAATCATACATTTTGAACTTTTTCTATTTTTTGGTGAAGAAAAGAAGACAATGAGAAATACCCGATTTTTAAACCCATTTTAGACTGAAGGGGCTTTTGAGGCCCAACTTTGATCTCAGATAGCGGCTAAACGGCTTGCGCTAGAAGAATCAAATTTGGAGACCTTTCCTAAAATGTCTCTGGAAAAAAGATAATATTAGTTTAATACTAGTAAGTTGATGTTTTTTATGTGTTGCCATGGCAACGGGTTTCTAGCAGGCAGTTTTTTTTAAAAATAGAAGTAATTTTGGTTTAAACATAAAAATTTTCTAAATTTTATATTAAATTACACTTCTTTTCCAACATTAATAACATCTTACATAATTAAATATAAGTTAAATCATTTAATATGCATAGAATATGATAATTTGATGAGGTCATTGTCAAAATCCAATAAGGCGGACTATATTATTAGCTCTGACGTCATATGACGTTATAATTACACATAAGTTATTAAAATTTAATTCTATTACTATACACACCATTCTCTGAAAACTTGGTAGACATACGATGAGTGCATAAAAACATATAAAAACGGAAATAAGGTAATGTATAAGAACGCCAGTGTATCCATTATGATCGAAAGCCGGCTGGGGTCCGCCCGGACCCCAAAAGAAAATCAGATATAATTTTTTTTTTCAAAATGGTAGAAACGGAGTTTTCTGCACTGTATTGAGAGACAACTTTGTGGGTGACAATTACCTAAAATTTCAGACAAAAATCTTTAGAAACAAAAAAGATATTACAGAATATATAGTGCTGGGGTCCGCGCGGACCCCGGGTGTTCTGTTTAGGGTTAAATGTTTTGTAACAACCTGGTTCAATAACATCTACCAAATGTAGTATTGCAGCGGCTCTGTTTTCTTTTAAATATAGATAAAATGCAATATGTGAGTGATAAAAATAGGTGATAAGAGTATTTTTATGGAAATAAAATTTGACCTAAGTTTTGAATACATTGTAATAATGAGCATCAGAATGATTTGGAAATTACTCTAAGTCATAATATGTTTAAACCATATGTTGAACATAGAATGCCAAGGAGGCAGGTCTGCAGCATACAAAGGGAACATTCCGTGCAACTCTTACTCTCCTACAAAAACGGAGGGCGAGTGGAACCGGAAGGATAAGATATTTGCTAAGGACAACAGGGAAGCGTGCTTTGTTCTACACCTGTCGCGGGCCCCCCTGTTCCACATCGCCACTACTGTTGGACCCTGCATCATCCTGGTTGTGCTGATGAGCATGACCTTTATCATACCCCTTGACAAGGGCGACCGGATCTCGTTCGGAGTGACCATTCTACTCTCCATGGTCGTGTCCTTGGTGTTTGTGACAGACGTACTTCCTGTTAAGGGGTCATTGCCGTTTTTCGGTGAGTTAAATTCTATTTGACAAAACTGTACTTCTTTATAAATCATCTGCTTAAGATGGTTGTAGCGAAATGCTCCATTACAGAAACTGTTTACCACCTTACGCAACGTTACAGCTACGCTGATCATCACCTGCATGGGCCTGATGGGATTGTTCCTGTTCTTTACTCTGGTCATCATCGTCATCCATGACCGGGAGGGCAGCCTGTCTCCGGCGGCAAAGACAATTTTCCTCCGCTACATTGCAAGGTACCTTCTATTCGTTTTTGGGCAGAGGATGGCACCCAGGCCAGAGCTTTGGAGGAAGGATTTTTTTTAGAACAGTTGAAAATCAATGCGCGCGCAGATGACATCCATAAAATCAAATCAGTGTAACCTAACAAATATATCATACTATGGAAAAGGGTTGATTCAACTTAATGCATTAAAAGAATAAACATGAAATTGACCTTGGAAATTAACGTTTTTGCCGCACTGAATTAAAAAGTGCATTAGATGTCGTTAATGATATCAGTGTATAACATGACATTATCGATGTCTAAAACATTAACTAACCTGCAACTTTGTAATGAGTTTCTACATAGTTTAATATTCAGCTTATTACTTTCGCTGATAATATTTTTTGCCAGCATTATAACTCATTTTTCCTTGATGCTGTCATTTGAATACATTTTATCTAACACCTTATATGATTATTTTCTTTACTAAATTTTATCTAATAGAAACTCACCAGGACTTCAATCGGATGACCCGTATCTTATTATTGTTTGTCTGAACCGAACCTTTTTTCATTATGTCATTAATGTAAATATTTTATTACCAAACGAAGGCTAATCAAACATTTACTAATATATAGGTAGTATTATTCATAGAAGTCAGATTCATTGGAATGATTTTAACAGTTTTGTACATTTTTTGTTTGTTTTTCAGGATGCTGCTGTTGGGTGATCTGACAGCAAATAAGCAAGCAAACGATGAAGAGGTTGACGTGATCAACCACGCCGCCATAGAGCTGACCAACTGCGCCTATGAAACCGATAACGTGTCGGAGGCTGACGAAGAAGTCATATACTTCGGTGGCCATGAGAGGAGCGAGCAGCCATCGACCCCTACTGAGGATGCTTCCGGATCATCTGGACTCTCAGAGCTAAACGCCAGCGTTAAAGAGTTGATTACGGTGGTCAGGGAAGTTGGAGATCTGACCAATGCCGAGATTAGAGAGCTGACCAAGGCCGTGAAGAACGAGGAGGAAGTGTCTGACTACATTCTGCTGGCCAAAGTCCTGGACAGGCTGTGTCTTGTCCTGTACTTCATCAGCATCGCCGCAACCGTTCCTATGACCATGTATTTGAGCAAGTAAAGGTGTAGCATCAACATCGATCTACGGACCGTTTGTCACGTTATCTATCGATTTATGATAAATGTCTCAGAAGTTTGATCCCACTTGTTTAACCCTAATCAGACCGGGCTTTTTTGGGCATGCTCAGACGGGGGTACCTGTACCTCAACAACCACTTACCGTAGGGCCACCAAATTTTCAGAGAGTGTAGTAATGAAATTAGTTCATATCAAAATTTTTTGTGTAATCATAACGTCATTATGTCGTCATTAATTAAATGATTTTTTGGGGGGTAAAACCGTCAAAACTTATTTTTCCGGAAAATTTTAAGGAATACAAACAAACTTTAACAAAAGTGTCTAAGATAGAATATTAATGGGAACACGAAAAATGAGGAGCTTATCTAATTAATATGAAATTGCTACCAGATATTTTAAGGGAAGGTCACCAAATTTGACGGTTCTAGTACGAGCCGTTCATGTGCTATCCGAGACAAAAGCCCCCCTCCCCGGCTGAATAGGGTTATAACAAGTATATAATATGCATTCTGAGCATTTTAAACAATGTTATAGGATACCTGATACTTTAAAACAATGTTATTGGATACCTGATACTTTTATTCACGTTATTTATCAAGTTTAGCACTTGCTCTAATGGGAATTTGCACAATTTAATGTAGTTCAGCTACACCTGGATTAAGGGAGGAGATCCTTAGGTACCCAAAATCTAATTCTCACCAATATGATTCCCAGGTTATTACATTAGATTAGGAGATACACAGTCCCATTCCAGTAGGTATTGTGACAAACTAACTTTTCGCATGTTATCACAGGAGATTTTATCCATATATTATTGTATATAACTCTTTGCCTGAACGGTAAAGTTGAGGATTAGGTATTGTTATAAGCACAATTAAGAACGTATGCGTAAAACTTCTCAAAGTCTAATTCCTTATAAGCAGATAAAATATTTGCTAGCGTAAATTTTATCTTTAAAATCAAGCCAATGTAGGCTTGATTTGTTATAAGCACAATTAAGAACGTATGCGTAAAACTTCTCAAAGTCTAATTCCTTATAAGCAGATAAAATATTTGCTAGCGTAAATTTTATCTTTAAAATCAAGCCAATGTAGGCCTTAATGATTGTGGTTTATTATCATGTACAGGATTTTAATCTAAACTCAAACAGGCTGCTTTATTATCATACCAATATTTCTATTTCTGTATACATTTTTTTTTCTTTTCAAGAAAAGTCACCATGACTATTTAGACAGAACACATGGTTAATGTGGCATAATTTACTTATAATTTCATATAAGCCTTAAATTATATTAAATTATATTAATGATTAAGTATAGTTATTTCTGGGCGGTGCTAAACTATCCTCTGTCATGCGTGACAGGAACTTGTGAAGACAGTACATGGTGTCACCTGATTAGGATGAACTGAACTGAACAAACTGATTTCTGTGCTAGATATTACATTCGGATCTGCAATAGTACTTACGTGGTACCATTCTAGCGGAGGTATTTAAGCAATAGCTGATTCTGTATACTAAATACAGATACTGATGGCACACATGTACATATAATAGCTCATGGTCTCATTCATGTACCTACGTAAATTAGTCCCGAACTAAAAATTAAACGGCTGCATGAAAGATTGTTTGTAGTGGTGAGGGATTTGATTTTAATCAGCCCGATGGTTTGAAAACGTCAAAGTAGTGAAAGCTCGATTGTAACGGCGGACATTAGGACGTACTTTTTGTCAGATGTGCGATAGGTCGGATGTTTACATCCAGTGCCCTGAGTAGTGCGGTCTTAGGTTTGCAGCTTGTAATTGTCATAAACATGGATTGTGTGAACAGAAGTCGTGGGCAAATGTTTCATGTGATGGAGAATAAATGTTCTCGACAAATCATATGATTATTGTAGGGTATTAATTAAACTGTTAGCAACGTTAAATCATTAGCAACGCGACCTGGTAAAACCCACATTAATGCATGGTCCTCAATGTATTGATGAATTAGACCTTATACTTATAGATATTTAGCAAATTCTGTCGATAAGTAAACTGTTGTCATCTAATTACTTTGTTAATTTGCAGATTATCAAGACCTATTATACCTTCTGATAAGACATGGAAACATCTGGAGTACTGTGTTTACGGAATAAAATGTGGTCATGGTGTACAGCGTCTGTTTTGAGTGTGTTTTTGTCATTTAACACTAGGGTCAACTTCTATTAAAATGTTACTTTTTCGAAGAATGCTATAATACTACAACTACTGCCAGTCAGTATCAAACGACTGTGACTTCAACTGTAAAAAGTAAATAAACAGGATGGCCCATTTCTAGTAACAAGACAAATAAGAGTTTCGAGACCTCATACCTCTATGAAGTATAGGCTTGGTATAAAAATGTACATTTCTTCTTTAATTATGCAAATGACCTCTATATTAACATAATAGATGCATCGTGGTGTTACCTTTTGATTAACTTACACATGTCCCAAGTATAATATCCCCATCATTTACCATTAAGGAGTTATATAGTTTTCAGATCAACTATGCAAATTATGTCCGTATTTGCATATTTGGTATCTGTTCATATTCTACCAGCCATAGATACGGGGGGAAAAGAGAATCTGTAGGTGCCTGCGCGTGTGTTTATAGGCCGATATTTGAGTGCGTGACTCCCTCGGGTACGCCCCTGTGTGGACGGCAAAAACTGCCAGTTTGAGTGTTGATTGCGACAATGTCGTGGGCTATCTAGAATAATTTCTTGAAAAATATGGGAACATTTCTAGAAAAATATTGGAAAATTAAAGCCTGAAAATGTTAAATTTGTCTTAATGAAGGATCTTTCGATTATAATCATTATATTTGCTCATAGGCTTTAATTTGATAGTTGGGACGCATAAGCACCTTGGTAGAAGCTTGCTAAATAGCTAGAATCTACTGCTGACGTATTTGCAGTAAAGCCCAGCTGGAGTTGATGATTGTTAAGTATAACAGGGTAAAATAGTAACATTTAACATAATATGCGCTTTTTTTCTTAATGGTGTGATGTCAAACTAACAACAAATAATGAAAATCATTAGAAAAGTAAAAATCATTAGTTGCTGTTTGAAGAATTCACTAATATGTATAGATATAAACTACGTGTATTGACTTTGCTAAAATTAAGATTCAGTTTTATAAGATACATTTAGTTATTTATATCATAGCTCCGATAGCTTGACAATTGTTATCAAAATTGAATTGTTCATTTGAAAGTCATCTAAAATTGAACTGTATTTTTAACCTTATGTGCATACATATTGGATCAGGAATAGTACATACTATTGTGTGCACAGCAATATCACGTACTTGGTTTGTTCTATCACCAACTTACCTATTGGTAAAAAATGTGCTGGCACCCCCTCTAACCCATTTTCCAGCTGTGTGAATACAAAACCCTGCATCTGCTTGAAGTCTAAAGTAGGTCAGAAACTACTAGGTCAGCAGGTGTTTTTTTTCCTCCGTCAAATCTATTCCGTAGGTTTCCTAGAGTTCCTGATAAAGGTAAAAATTAAAGATGGGCAGGTAATGACCCCGCGTCCTCCCGGCCTACGTAAACCGCTAATATTTCTATGAGTCTACAATATACTTTGATGATTCTCACGCGGGTTTTAGGTGTCCATTCACAAGACAAAGGCACACTGATTTCTGCCTTGCCTTATTAGTCAGCGAAAGTTTGTGCCGTAAAATCGATTCCTTACTTCCTGTCACCTAGCCTGGGTGCCAAACATATAGCACACTGGACACAAAGTATATCCATGTGTGGCGCCCAGGCTACCTGTCACCGAGCGACCTCCACAGTAGTATTCCCCAGAGTTATTAAACTTCTCTATTACTAGTACTACAGAACGATATGCTAGCTACACACACAAACACACCCACACACATACGCACAACAGAATTTCGAGGGCAAAAGCAAATAATGGGAACTATTACAGTCAGTGGGGGAAACTGATCGATACACATGTTGACAATCATGTAATTGTGGGAGTATCCACTGCTCATGAGATCAGCCAGTCTGACGACAGCAAGAGACGCTTTCAATGCTCCCTTCTGTGTGTATATATTTTCTTAGAGGCTTAGAGGCGTGCCAGAACTAAAACTTTAAATCTCATAGGATAGAGTTCTCCGTTCTTTTTTAATATCGATGACCACAAAACTAGGCTAACACAAGCACACACGCAATCCCTGCCGTTTGTTTGTTTGTTTCGCATAACTGGTAAACCGGCTTTAGGCGTGACACACCAGTTTTGTACATGTAGGTGCCACTCACAGCGGGAGGGTCCCCTACTCTTTTCGATAAGTGCGGTGGGATCTTTAACGTGCGTGGGGTGTAGCTCTCCCCAAACACGGGACCTCCATGTAACGTCCTATCCGAGGGACGTCAAAAACCAGAGCTAGGTACTCATTTCCACCTGAGTGAAGCGAGAAAAGTCCTGTAAGGTGCTTTTTCCAAGGGCACAAGATCGGTGACACGGGTAGGATTCGAACCCGGGACCTCTTGGGTGAGCCGAACGCGCTACCGACTGCGCCACACGACCCCACGAGTGACGTTAACCATACAGTGCATTGAACCGGCCTTTAGCACATTTTTTACCAGAAGGTAAATAGGTATAGACCTTTTGGTAAAAAAATGGGTTAGAGGGGGTGCCAGCCCATTTTGTTACCAGAAGGTAAATAGGTATAGACCTTTTGGTAAAAATATGGGTTAGAGGGGGTGCCAGCCCATTTTTTTACCAGAAGGTAAATAGGTGATAGACCTTTTGGTAAAAAAAATGGGTTAGAGGGGGTGCCAGCCCATTTTTTACCAGAAGGTAAATAGGTATAGACCTTTTGGTAAAAAAATGGGTTAGAGGGGGTGCCAGCACATTTTTACCAGAAGGTAAATAGGTATAGGGCTTATTCACCACAGATGGTCACGTGACTCTTCCCCCCGGCAGCGAGCATTGTCCGCCATTAGGG